ATTCAGCTGCTTCGCCCATTTCCAGAAAAGGGATTTGAAGATAAGGAACAAAGAATATGTCTGCGGTTATGAGATACATGGTGAGCGTGTTCGAGGGTTAACCGATAATATTTCTTTTTTCTTAAATTTATCAGTTACATAAGGTTCAAATTGTACACTTAGGGAACCTAATTGGTAATGGTTGATTGTACATCGTGCATTACTTCTCTCCGACGAGAGAGATTACAACGTACAGTTTCTATTCACAGGAATTTTCATCTTTTTTTTAACTGTTGATTTTGCAGGTAAAGGCATTTTTTTTTCAGTACACCGAAGAAATATTCAGTACACCGACGCAATATTTACAGACGATAACGGCCGCCGTCTGAGAACTTGAGTGACGCGAAGTTATTCGGAGAGGGAAACCATTCAACATCTGGCGTGGCATGCTACATCATCACGCCTGAATCACTTAGAACTTGTCTGGCACATGTTGGGAAGACGGACAACAGGTTGCAGTGTGCCACCAGGCACCCTGCTTGATATCCGGCATGCATTACTACAGGAATGGGCGTTACTGCCACAAGAAGGGATCAAAGACACTATTCCCAGCTTGCTTCGCCATTGTGAAGCATGCATTTCAGCTAGAGGGTATTATACTCGTTATTAGCGTGATGTTTCCATTGCACATTCTTTCGACACATTTGGTCTTTCGCTACGTAAGGGTCGTAACACATGTGTTTTTAAATGCCTTTGCTTTATTATTTGCTATTTAATGCAACACCAATATCTTGGATCAAGTTCACGTATAGCCATTAAATAAGTTTTGATTTATTTCGTGTTTTGCTTTTGCTGCTCGTTTTTTAGGAGGAGTGCAGTGAAATTTCTACTTGATTAGGGCATGAAATTCGAGTAGTGAAAACAATAACATGATTTTTGATGCATGTATAAAAAATTATAAATCTTAATCTAGTTTAAATTAAATCACGTTTATTTTCGTTGACTCAAAACCAATAATTTAGGTTCGAATCGTATTTCTCAAAGAAAACTAAACGCGATGTGAATCAAAACATTTTCCGAAAAGAGAAATATCTAAAGAAAGCGTAAGTAATTATAATAATTGTGGTCAAATATGTATATTAATACTGTTTTTGCAAATTTCTTAAATTAAATTGTTGATCTGAAAATGGCAAAATGACTTGCTTTTGACAAAACTGTTTATCTTCTAACAAATTCAATTAATTGAATTACCTTCATCATAATTTCGTGTAGCATTTACCCTGAAATCAGACTATTGTTTTCATTCCTTTAAATATATGCTTTGAAAGTTTTTGATAGTTTAATCTTTTTAGCGAAATAAACTGCACTATGCGGTTTACCTAAAACTTTAACATTATCACAACAGTTTTCTTTCGTTAATCATCTAAATTATTAACTTTAAAACATTAGTGTTTGAAATACGCTCACTATTCATTATTGAAAATCTAAACACACTTACTACAAAATAGGATGAGTAAGATTACCGTATTAAGGGAAAAAATTTTTATTTCTAATCTTCAATTAACAAGTGTTATTCTGGTCTTCTATTGCTGACAATGGTAAAGCGACTTTTATTCATTGAGGAACATCTGTGCGATTTAGTTAGTCTTTCCTTTATTATGATGTCTATTTTACAAATAAAGCGTAGACTTTGAATTAATTTTGAAAAAATACTGCATTCAAATAAAACAATATAAATTCATTTGTATCTGGTATTATACACTGTTTTATGATATGTGGATATTTGTAAAAACAATTTTGGAAACACCATATATGAATAAAAATGGAAAACAAACTTAACAATTGTAAATTTTTTGAAGAGTCATTGCAATTTTCAAAGGCTTTGAAAGATGTATTTTCTGTTCCATTAAAAGTTTCCTTCACTAAAATTAAAAAGGTGAGTTTGCTTTTACTCTAGAGAAATCTTCATAAATTAATTGTCTAATAATAAATTAATTGGATATAATGAAAAGATTTATACTTAATAATAAGAGACGCAAGTTTGCAAGCTGCCAGCTAAAAATGAAAGCGCTATGTACATTTAGTAAGTTTTTAACGAATTTTATCCGTAGCCATAGTTCATAATTTTCGACAAATAGACAGTCTGAGAATTAAGTTGGAATTGTCAAATGATTGGTAATTCTAAAACGCTAAACGAGTCAATCCTTCAAGAATTTTGTTTCTTGGGCGCGTCAGTATTAAATTTTTAAGATCATTGTATTGTTGCGTGCGTACGGTTTCGTAATTCATTGAATGAACACAGGTCCGATTATAGATTATTAAAATTTATTTTTATCAAAAGAAGAAATATTCGTACAAGTGTTCACAGTATCACACAGTACAATCAGTAGTTAAACTTCAAACTACAAATAACGTTAAGCATAACGCAATATAGCAATGGAAAGCGCATCTAAAAAGAGACTTAATCCGATCTCACGTTGAACTAACAACTCGCAACAATAACAACTCACTAAGAGCAGATGACTGACTGAGTCGGATATAGCCAGAATACCTCAAAAATGCAGTGTCTCTGGCTCAGTAAAAATAAGGCCTAAAGGCACATCACATAATACTATCCGTACGTAGTATCTCGAAGAGAAGAGGATGTGGGTAAAGAGGACCGACTATCACACGGTCAGTAACAACAAGCGATCATAGACTCCGAGTCGGTGAAGTGTTTGCGTAGGTCTTCAATGTATTACACAACAAAATACAAGAGAAACAAACATTTATATACAAGTAAATCACCATAAAAGTAAAATATTTACAGAAATAATTACAAATATATACAACAATGAAAAATGTTGTGGACACGAAATTAGGTGGGGAAGTTGGAGTCACCGGCGATGTGAGCTGCTAATGGTCTGATATTGCTGTCGTCGTCAAGAACAAGATAATTACGTGTGTTCAAACTGTTGAAATGAGAGCAGTCAAAAGCTTTAACAAAGAAGTTCCCGTTAATCTTGCGCAAATGCTCTTCAGTTGTATCTAACTTTAAGTCCCTGTGCAGAGTTGCATTGGTCACATAATAGTGAAAATTTGTAATAATACGTAGCACAGAGTTCTGAATCAGTTGCAGTCTATTTATATCACTTTTATTTGCAGTGCTGCATACCGGGGAGGCGTAGGTGATTATAGATCGAATGCTCATGATATACATTATTAATAATTAGTCTTTTCCTATGAAGCTCGAGGCACGAAAATGTTTTTAGAAGTGGCCTGAGACTGTTAATTACTCCGAAGGCTTTCATTCTAATATTGGTAGCATGATCCTTCCATGTTAACTTCTTATTGAATATGACCCCTAAATACTTTGCAGATTTGACTTCGGGTATTTTTTCACCAAATAACATAAGCTTATTCTTTAGAGGTGTTCTTGTACGTTTTCTCCTAATGATTAAAAGCTGAGATTTAGTGACATTGATAAAAATACGCCATTGCTTACACCAATCTTCTATATTAGGCATAATATTTTTAAGCTTAGTACCTGCATGGTCAGCATTCGCAGATTTTACAGCCAGGGCTGTATCGTCTGCATACCATGCAGTAGTATTGACCCTTGCGAGACCCCTGCGTCCATAATTTTGGTATTTCAGCATTCATTTCCAATGGAGACTGTGAAAGTTCTATCTAGTTTGTAATACTAAGAGCAGAAGCTCTCTCTCTGCCCTTATATAGTTTTCACCCGGCCACCGATATATTTCTAATACTTTCTGTTTCTCGAAATTACTAGAAAGCGAGATGGGGGTCGAATTACAGTTGCAGCTAATATAGTGATCAATTACATTTATTCAATTACAATACCTATTACGGTGATACAAAATCCAAAATGTCGCTAAATGGTCGCCAAGTTTGGTGACTTTCGGCGATTTCTCGCCAAATTACCGAGATACCCATTAACTCAATGTTAAATGGACTTGCCCCTGTATTCTTACTTTTGTGGTATAGCTCGTCTCTTCAGATATTTCATGTTACATTGCGCAAAAAAATACAACAATTTCGCAAATGATTGCACTAAAATCATCTATCTATGTACAAAATTCGTAACAATATCATATATTCTCAGATAAAATGTTTGACTATAGCAACTTTTACTATATTATCTCAGATGGAACAAGGATACATCAAACTCTAAATATCCATCTGAGAAATAATGTAATACAAATTCTATGAAAATGTACAGTGATGAAAAACGAGCTGAGCTGTTAACAGATAGCAAATCCGAGAAATACAAATGTTATGCTACTGATGTTAGATAAAGAATGGCGAAATTTTATTTTAAACTTCCAATAGATATTCACAGTGTTACTTAACTACTACTGATTATTTAAAATGTTTGGTTATAATACCTTTAAATGGTGTTGAGTAAATGATTTGAGTTTCACTTTTGCTGATGTATAAGTAGTTGCGTTATCTTGCATTATATAAGGGTCACATAACAAGGAGTAGTTTTGAAATCGCGTCATTTTGAACTATTTATTATGATCATTTTATTGCTTAGAGAGTAGAAAAGGGAAATAATAAAATTAAGAAAATTAACTAAGCGATTACGAATTGAAAATAACGTTGTAAATTGTGTCAAAAATTCTGAATGTCGTTGCACCGCATATACAACGTATAAATGATTATATCAATGAGTTATGAAATCGAGTATTAAAGAGGAAAATTACAAAACCACTAACATAATTTGAAATTATAAATTTCTGATTTAGCTAAATTTTGTTATCAACAGTTTTATTCCAAGAGTGTAGAAACAGTGCTTAAAGCATGAATTCACAATAACTGAAGAGTATTTTCAAATCTAATGTAATGTTTCTTCTTGCCCTTTTATACATAAACGATGAAAGTTTTCTAATGATATGTATAGAATTCAGAGCATCAGTAATGCCTTAAATGTCAGATGTTCACCCCTTATCAGAGCAACTGAAAGCAAACATTACGTCAGAGAGATAATCTTTGTCTTTCAGTTGAGCATAAAAAAGCACATAAACAGTTCGTTTTTATTATCGCAGGAAATGATGTATTAAGTCTACGTGGTCATAATTAGCTACTATATATACACACAAAAATTGATATAGATTTAAAGTTGCATTTTTGAACAATCATTCAGGTAAAGACAGGTAAGCATTACATGTTTTAGTTACTTAAAATTGTTAATACAACATATGTTTGATCATTTAGTTATTTTTATGTAGTATGATTAAAGTAAACTTTTTTTTATTTTAAAATTTTGACTACTTTATTTTAAAATAAGAGATCCAAACTCGTAGTGTTAGTTTATTCGCTATTATCCTTGGGAGAATGCTGACTAAACTTTGCATTCTTGCTCACATTCTAGTAATAAATTATTTCATACAATAAACATTAACAGCTAAAATTTATATTTTCATATATTCTCAATAACAATTTTTATGTATGCATATTTCATAATAAACATACCTACAAAATAAATAATACAAGTACGGGGAGCAATGTAGAATTATTTCTACAAATGTGTAGATATTAGGTGCACTTAGATAACTGACAAAGGCATGCAAAATTTGAACGTAGATTTACAAAAATATTTACTAATATTAATGTAATTAACATTTAGAGTATTTTGTTATTTTCCAGACAAAATATTATAAAGCACTAGTCTCAAACTGCATGCGAACCAAATACACGGGATTGAAAGCAACTGGCAGGTTGAATTTTCTCGGAAGAAATTAAAAGTTTTTTTTTTTTTAACAAAACTAAATGTTTAACTAAATTTAAAATTTTATTTACTTAATAATTGTCAAAACTTATATAAACAGTAGTAGTAATGACGTAAAGGACAAAATTCAATTTACATATATATTTTCGTCTTAAATCTAAAAGCTGGTGTCTGCAAGTAACTTATTTTTCAGAACTGTTAATTTCTAAATATTAAATTTTCAAGCTTACAGTAAGTTGATTTAACCACCATATGACTTAGTTTAGACTAAAAATTAACAAATTTAGAAAACTCTCCAATGAAAGAATACTTGAGAACAGATAACGACAGTATGATCTTTTATTTATTAAATTGACTTACTTTGAATTTAAACTAAAATTAACAAATGAAGAAAATTTCCCAAAGGAAGAAAACGTCAGAAAAAATAATGACAACCTATTATTATTTTTTATTTAATAAATCTTTCTTTAAAGTGTAATGGAAAACTACATGTATTTGCGTATAAATAATTATGAGCTTCCTTCTTACTACAACTGTCATCAACAACTCGTCATGACGTTTCAATTTTGATACATTTGTAACTCTAGAGAAAAATTACTAAAAGCAAACTTCATCACTAGACAGATGTTCACCTGAGACTGGTTCTTCTCTTAGACTTATTAGTTTCAACTGTGTAACAAAACTATTCGCATATAAATGCTCTTCCAAGCAAAGAGATTAGTCTTATTAGTCTAAAATACGGAACTGATGACACTTATCTTTTACAAAATACGAAAAATACCGAATATTTTAATAAAATTTACATTTTCAAATCTTTCACGAAATTTTATATTACAGTGTAAATGATTTAACTCCATCTGTAGCTTTTGCGTAGAGTTACTCGGGTTTGTTTTTAATGGTAATGAAGTAATGTAAAATGGGACTTCAAATAATTGAAATCTTAAAAATTTTCTTCAAGTTCTTGTCAAGAAAATTAATATCATAATAATGCTAATTAATTTACAAGAAATGTAAAATGTAAAATTGTAAAATTGGTTCTAGGACTACATGCATCCATGGGTCACCATTTTGAAACTGCTGTTATAATATACATACAGGCATAGATATATATAATAATTTACTGTTTTAAATTTTTAAAAAATGTTATGTAATCTTAGCGACAATTGCGCAAGATATTGTTTTTTTATGAATTATTTAAATAAAACTTTCAATTTTAATCATATATATGTGTATATATATGTATTGATATATATATTGATAGATACAGATGCATCTTTGCATGCAACGTAAAAAGCTTAAATTTTAAATCCCTTTTCAGCATTTACTTGAAATTATTTAAAAGAGAACTGCTTTCAGCAAGCTTAAAACAACGTGTCTTAATTATATAGACTTCTGCTCCGCATTATTCTTTGATTAATTATTTTGATCTCCATTTTCAACTGTCGCAATACTTATTATCTAATAAAATTTTCCTACTAAAGAATCATTATAAAATTGTATCGTGTTTATCTGTTAAGAAAAATTAGCATTTTCAAGCTGAATCTTTCTATTCTTGCCGTTGATTTGAAACTGCTGAGGTATTGTTCCAAATAGTTGAATACGTACCACTTATTCATTCCTTAACTAAATGACATGGCCATTTCATGTACACTCATGTTCATAAATTAAGGATAATTCGGAGTGAAGCGGAAATCGAACTCTAAAATAAATATATCACCTGTAAAATCACTACACACATCTTCAAGAATCATATGCAAATTTCAGGAAGTAACCAGATGACACCGATGGTACGTCACAATGCAAGAGTGTAAGAGAGTGATATACAGGAAACAGGCAAGAAGTAAAAATTTTCGAGGCGCTTTATAGCATTCAGTGCAAATAACCGAATAGGTTATGACACAAAGGAAGCAGTTGGATTTTTTTTACTTGGTAGAATTACCGGCCGTCTGGAATTGGGCGCGCGTACCCAACTGGAAGTATCAGACGAACTTGGAATTGCCCAGAGGGGTCATCTCCAGGCTTTGACAAACGATTCCAATGTTAGTAAATGTGAGAGACGTTACACAGATCGTCCCAGAGTGCAACGCGAATGAGGACCGGTATTTTGTGTTATTGCCAAAAGAACGGCGGAGCACAGCCTCAGCCTGTTCTTCAAGCTCCTTCAGCCACTGGTAGGCAATTTCAAGGCAGACCGTTACAGACGCTTTAGGGCAGATTGGTCTATATGCTCTGATACCTGGTCAGATGCATTCCACTTACGCAACTCACTGTCGCCTGCGGTTAGCCTGGAGTAGAGACATGCATATAGACCCGCAAACAGTGGGCTTGTGTGATGTTTTCCGACGAGTCCAGGTTTAGATTGCATCGATTCTCGCCGGCGTTTATATGGGGAGCTTGAGGTACCCGTTACCACCAAGAAAACATCATTGAACACACCGTTACAGTGGTGCAGGAGTGCTCGTTTGGGGTGGAATTATTCTGGGTTTCTAGAAGATCTGCATGTTCAAATGGGAGCCATGACAACCAGACTATCGGGACGTCATTCTGGAACAACATGTACGTTTGTTTCGGGGCGCTATTGGCGCACATTTGTGTTATGGATGACAACGCCCGTCCTCACCATGAAACATCGTAAAGCGAATGCCTCAAATCGGAGGATATCAGCCGTATGGACTGGCCATATTCTCACCGACTTGAATCCAGTAGAGCGCGTGTGGGATATGCTTGCCGACGATTGCAGCTTGTCAACCTCCTCCAGTTTACCGGAACTTCGGAGAGCATTGCTTTTTGAGTGGTGTAATATCCCCAAGATCAGACCGATAATTTGAACTCGCATGCCTAGGCGTTGTACGGACTGTATTGCATCGTCTGGAAGAATACAATGTTTAACAATCATACCAACATGTAATATTGGTTTTTTGTAAATAGGTTTTTTTTTGTAATTTGCTCCAGGGAGAAAAAATCGCTATTTTTTTTAATAATATCAAACATATAGCATCTTCTTTTGCTCTTTACCTTTTGTTTAATAAATAAGCTTTACAAATAAGTCAAATTTGTTTTCCTTCTAACTCTTCCTTTGCCTGATTTTGCATTATCCTTAATTTATGGACATGAGTGTATTTATATCATTAACTCAAAACGTTGCCAACGGTACAACAACACAGGAGACAATCAAATTACGTCAACAAGAACAGGGAAACTTCCAGCTTTTGAAGTAGAACCCTTCGGAAGGCCTCCTACCCCTTCACCCTCTCAAAAGGAACTTCGCATGATAGTATTTTAAGTACTCCAATGCCCGGAATACACTGTACACTCACAAATGTCTCACTCACTCTATGTCTTCTCTAGGAGATCCAAGACTTAGGGTATGGCAGCCGGATACTCACTCCACTGTCAACAATACAGCAGACCTGACAAATACAGAAAATAATTTTAAATTTAGGCTTTAGACTCTTCTAATTGCGTTGAGTCATAAAACTGTAGGCCCACCAGCGGCCGAACGGTAAAGACGCTGAACACTGGTAGTTCGGTCCGAGGTTCGAATCCCGCGATCGGGCTGGCTGCTCGGGCGTTTTCGTGGTTTTCTCCATGTGTAACGTGTATATGAGCCAATTTCCCTTAGAAAGTCCTCCACGAAGGCATCCCTCCCTTTAGGAAGATAGCCCTCGTGTGCTTTGCCATAATTAAATAACCCAAATCATAAAACTGTATTATTTTTGTAGCGACTGCCTTTAGATGCAAATTCTTCACTGGTTATCTCAGACTGGTGTATAAATAGAAGAAATTCAGGGTTTACAAGTATTTCATGGTAAAATTATGTTGAAACTTTTAAAGACAGCAATCTTTGGTTTATATTGCTTACACTCTAAACAATGCTTTTATATATTAACGAAATCAACTTATTTTATCAGATAGTGCAGTTAATATCATTTCGTAAAATCAGCCTCATGTGCTCATTAACTAATTTCATATAACAAACTTGAAAATAATAATTTAGTGTTTGTATAATTTTCTAATAGCATGGTCAAGTATTTTAAAACCTCTTTAAGCCTCATTTTAATATAATATTCTACTATGCTAGAGGGGCAACTTGTGGAAATTTACCAAATGCAATCTGCTTGAATCAATTCCAGCGTATATTATAAACAAGGAATCTGTATGTAATTTCCACTCGAATCCAGCCTTTTTAAAAATGTCATGCATTTCTAGAATAAATTGACGATAATGAAATTAAAATTGAAAGTTGCTTTATTTTAACATCAAAGTTTCACTTTTATTGCATTTAAATAAAGTAAAATACGTTTAACATCATATTTAAATTAAATATATTTTTCGAATATTAGGTTTAATTTCAAGTAAGTAATTAAAATAATGCATTTTTAATCTCAAGATATTTACTTAATACATATTTTGATAATTCAACCTAATTTCTTCTTTATAAGTGCTGTGAAAGATCCTATAACATAAAATCTTCATTTTTATGACACCTTAACTCAGTAAAACATAAAATGAAAAAATATATTTAATATCATTTTTTATTTAAATATATTTTTCGAATGTTGGCTTCAATTTCAGTTAAATAGTCATAGCTTAAGCAATTTGCATCTCATTTAAATGATTAACATAATGCAAATTTGGGTAATTCAAATTAATATCTTCTTTCATAAAAGCTATGGAAGGAGCCCGAAGAAAAGACGATACACAGCATCTTCCCTTTGTAGACATGACTTATTTTTTGAACAGTTTAGAAGAGAGTTCAAGTGATGAAGATGGGAAAAATGAAATGAAAGGTATGTAGCATATTTCTGTTTACTGGAATAATAATAGCTTTAATTTTGAAAATTAAAAAATAGACGCTGTAATAATATTATAAAATCATTAGGTATAGCAATTAAAAATACATCCTTGCATGTTTTACAGAATCCTCCATTGCTACCGAAGTAGGCTTCTCATTTGTTCTACGCCAGGACGCCAAGTAAATGTCATAATTTCTTACACCTTTCTCTAGTAAAATGCAGTTGGAGAGAGGCATAAAATCCACACGACTAAATACAAGTGTTGACAAGCTATGCCGCGTCGCTGGTATAGTGGTTAACGATACTGACTGCCGTACTGATGGGCCCGGGTTTGAATCCCGAAGAAGGCTTGAATGTTTGTAAACGTATAGTGTCTGGCGGCAAGGGACACCTAAAATACAGGGCAAATTGAAAAACCTGTATAAATATTGGTGATGAGGGAAGAGAGATGGAAGTAGGTTTCTTTAGAGTGTTTTCTCTTAAAAATTTAGTGCGTAATGCAAAGTGAATGCAGGGGAACTATCCATGCTCAACGAATAGTTAAATTCTGGCGTTCTTGCTCACTTCTATCTACAACTGGTGACAAGCTTTACCCCACATTCTTAGTTCAGACACAGCAGAGATACATAGAGATCCTTAGGTTGGAAACCGTAAGAAATCAAATATTGCTTTCTGGGATATGAATCATAAATCTTCAATGCTAGTTAGATGTCATTAGTCATTACCGCTTATATCACAAGAGCACGCAGGGAATCGCAAGAAGGAATACGACAATTCCTTAAACTCTTTTTAATTTTAAGGGCAACTGAGAAGAGGCTTGAGACCTAGCCAAAAATAAGAGTGATGGATGTTATCCTCCTTTACGTTTCTACGTTTGCTGCCACTTTAGAGATACGTTAAGCTATCGGATTAGGAATATGAAAAGTTAATTCTGCCATCTCTGAGATTCGATTTGCAAACCTTCCAATGCTAGCACCTCCTAACGGTTTGTATAGAAGCAAGCCGAAGAGAAATGTGTTCCTCATGACATTTCAAAATTCGGCGAAATATTTATTTTTATTTGTAAATATCAGTAAAATATATAACATTTATAAGCTATAGTGAACTTTACTCGTTAATGAATGAAATGTGTTACTATCTTAATAGAGCTACTTGGTTAATACAGCAATTTATTTACTACACAGCTGAACAAAAAATATGTAGAGAGAATACATTCATGGTATAAAAAACTGGATTAGTTCTTTTGTCGTTGTATAGAAATGGATATTATGGTGCATTGTTACGGCAAAATGTCATGGAAAGGACTTGTCATGGCTTTCTGTGAAACTAATTATACTACAAAATCCTATAGGATTAACATACATTCTGTTAAGAGCAAGTCTCTTGGTGTCTGTGAGAATAAATCTGATGGAATACAACTCAATGTTTACAGGAATAAAATTATAACTCATTGAATATACTGGCCGATCAAATCAAGCAGTGATATCCAGACTGTCATGCCCAGCCTAACGGCTCATAAATAATTCTAACGCGAAAGAAGACTTTGACTCCTAGAAGTCGGCTGAAACAAACCTAATATATAGCTAGAAGCATTCAACACCATAGAATAAATTCGCTAGTAATTGAAAGTAACAACGTGGCCTTTAAGCAAGCATAACACGCTCTAAAATCACCTTACGAAACCTTCACCTAAATAGCACTTCTTTCGTCTTAATTTGAAAAAATGAATCTCCCCACATTCATCAGATACGCTAAATGATGTTGTATACTATCTCTCCTTAGAGGAAATTCCGCTCCCAGCGCATTTCCGAGGTGTTGTCACTGAATTCGAGTTGCGTGCAGCTTAAGCGTTATATGAATGCAAAAACGCTCTCTGGTTGATCCTGCCAGTAGTCATATGCTTGCCTGCAAGATTAAGCCATAGACGTCTAAGTACATGCCGTGCTAAGATGAAACTGAGAATGGGCTATTCAGTTATGGTCACGCTATACATGGAAATGTTAACGACACTTTAAGAATAAGCGGAAACAAAATAAGATATAATTTTCATAAAATAATATCAGATTAACGAAAGTAAAGAAAATAATTTGATAATTAACTAAGCAATTTTTATAGAGTTAACTACATGCAGTTATTTATCTTCCTTTTTCTAAACATTTTCAGACTGTATTTTTCCTGAAAAATTATTAGTAAAACTTAGAAAAAAGATTAATTTATTAATGACCTTTGTTAGTGAACTATGTAAACTTAAAATTCTATTAAGTGCTATAATTTGCATTAATTTTCTACTCATTTTCAATTTTTAAATACTGGATTTTCCTTCTTACATTTTCAACAAAAATTTATTCGTTCGTTCAAAAGTATGAAATATAAAAATAAAAATATCCATCTATCCTTCTTGCGGTCCTAAATCATGCTGCGAAAATGCATTACACCGTTTAAACACTGAAAAACGCATGTGTGCGATGTTATCGTCATGCGATGATTTGTAGATACTTTACATTTTACCATGATATTTTCGACGACGATGTTTTAGAACTGCGATGTTTTCTCTTTACTTTCTTTTCCCCCACAATGTTTTGTACCACGACGTTTTCACCTTGTGTTGTTTTCTACGGGACATTTCCGTCCGCGATGTTTCCGGCAGACATCATGTATTAGTTGACATTGCCATTTTATAGGGGTTTTACAAGTGAAAATCGCCACACATATATGACACGTTACAGCTTTTTATGTAAATTAAATTAACTTACATATTTCTTTTAATGTAAAGGTTAATAGATAAGTGTCGAAGTATCTTAATATGCTTCATTAAATGTTTGGCTGTGCAACATATTGTTTAGAAAAGAATATATTCAAAGAAAAATTGTCTTATATTGTGTCAAAAATAATTTTTGTTTTCTTCTAAATTAAAAAATGTAAAAATATATTTTTATAACATATTAGTAATTCACTTTTCCATTCGATTCATAGATTTACTAATCTGAATAAGACATTTACAGGTGCTATGGAAGGTAGCTCTAAAGCAGAAGAACGGGAACCTCTTTCTTTTAAAGAAATGACTATGTTTCTAGACAGTTTAGAACACAGTTGTTCAGATGAAGAAGGAACAGACAATGATACATCAGGTGTGTATTACACAACTCTTTTCTAGATTAAAAAGGTAATACTTTAAAATAAAAAACTACAATTAAAATTTTGTATTTAAAAGCATCATAATAAGATATAACAATGAAAGATATCATGAAATATTCTCACATAGCTAAAAACTTCCTTTTTCGGTGATATATTAAAATGTTAAACACTTAAGAAGAAAATCGGAAATTTTCGTTTTCTAAACCTTAAAGACAAGAGATTAATCGCTGGTTTTCCTTTCGCAAGTGTAAGAGAAAGTAAACGCTAATTGGCTTTATTCAGGCTTCCAGACATTGAAGACATCGAAAAAAAGGTACATTATGTGTGAAAAAGACAGTTCCTTAAGGAATAATCACGTACTGTTGATTTCGTATTTCTAACATCATGGTTTTACAGATTCTCAAATCTTCAATTCAGTTTAGAAAGAAAAAAAAAAAAAAAAAAAAAAAAAAAAAAAATGGAGCTGTCTAGTACTGATTTAGAAAAGGTTAAAAATATGGTTTTGGCAACACCGCCTGGGCCTAAATCGATCTGCCAAACGTTCTTAGGCCTACTGTGATGAAAAATAAAAAGCAAAATCTCTGTGCAGCAGAGTTACAGATAAGCGATATATATAGTTATACATTCTATCCCCAAAACCTTTATGCACCCGGAAGGAAGCGAACGACTATCACGAAACGTAAATTGTATGTAGCGTATAAAGAGATAAAAAATTATCACAAATTCAGAACAAAAGATAGTTTTATTAAGAAGTTATGGTATGAGTAAGGTTACAAATCAGTTTGTAATCTTTCAGTTTATAATCTTTTCCTGCCGAAATATGTAACAAAATTAGCATGTTATTTCAGTCCGATTTTGTGTCAAAATATCTATATTAGAACAATGCCATATATAAATCTAATATAGTATAAAAATTTTATGATTTCTTGAGAATAATTATCACAACTAAGAACCAAAGTTTCACCATACTAATACCATAGCGTCAAATAACACAAATATTCAAACTTTTGGGGAGAAATAAGAAATAGAAACTATTAACGTCGACACTGCTTTTTTCACTTGGCAATGCTCTCACCTCTATCTTTCGAACGCAAATTCAAATTCAGCTCATCTAATAGTGACAATGAACCTTCACTATGCAATGAACTAAGCTTATATAAATCCATAAAAAAGCACAAACATCGCAAAGAAATGAAGTAAATTCAATTTAAAAAAATAGCACAGAAAAAATCACTAAACCCAAAATAAAAAAATCTTGTTCAAGTAAAGAATTTCAAATAAATAAAAGAATTTGCATATTTCAGCACATTGTAGTCAGGAGTTAGTATATCAAGAGAAGAAAATAGATAAACCTACTACTGAAGTAATAATTGTAAAATTAAAAACTTCAATAAAAAAACTAAATCGCTAAATTTAAAACTTCATCAAACAACAAATCGATTTGTGGCTTTATCAGTCCATCAGAGGCTGAAATCAGAAGATAATTGTGCTCAGTTTCCTATAAATCCAAAATTAGTTAAGATCCAAATAATTCGAGAAACAGCGTTAAAATCTTTTCATTTGATTAAAATAAATATAAAACATGTCGAACAGAATAATTCTATACAGAAATATACAAATAGCACATAAAACAGTAGACACAGTATAAGGAGTGCGAAAATAATTATTGTAGCTTATAAAAACAATTTATTCGTCTAAAATAAACAACAATGGTAAGTATAAAAAAGAAATTTCGAATAAATAAAGTAAGATTAAAAAGCAATCCTGAACCTCTGCAAACATTAAATCCATGTGTGATCAAAGGACTTGGGTTGAGCTAACCCTAACATGTACACTGCAGCAAAATGTTTTCAAGTGAAATATTAAAATAAAAATAAACTTTAAGTAAAAATAAATTTGTAGTTGAAGGCACAAATTAAATGCGCTGGGAAAAGAAAAGATGCGATTTTACCTTTAATTTTCAGCATTTTATAAAGCACCGACAAACACCGATTTAATATTTTTTTTAACTGGTCATTTACACATGAATTTGACACTAATTATTTGCTCTGTTGAAAAAGGTCATTTTAATTTTCAATATTTTCACATAAATATAAGAAATTACTTTTAAAAGGATTATTTAGTTGTTGATTTATTTAATTGGCCTTCATTTATAATCTTTTTAAATTGATTGACCTCATAAACTGTAAACTTCAGTCGGAATTTAAGCAAAAAAGCATAATGCGAAAACAAAAATAAATAATTTAAATGCGAATTTATAACACAAAGTACCACATTTGTACTCAGTCTTCCAATTTTGCATTAACAAATTAGTTAATTTAGTGACAGCGAGACTTCTTCTTAAAAAAAAAAATTGTCTTTGAGAATTTTAACATTATCATTACAACTTAAAATATTATTAGAAATTAAATTATCAATAATAGCATAAAATAGCAGTAATACATTTTCTCTATTTATAGATATTTTCTCCCTCCTTTTCGCATGCCTTCGTGGTGTAAATTGGAAGCATGTTCGACGCGTAAGAGAGATGTCTAGTGTTTGATTCCCGGCGAGAGTATTGCACATTTTTCACTTCTCCTGCTTCAAAATAATCTAATGACTATACCTGTATAAATAATAGCAGGAAAGCTATATTTCGTATCTTGGTATATAACTTTAAATGTTATTGTTTTTTAGGTGAAATTTGATTTTAATAGGCTAGCGATGAATTATAATTAAATGCTGGATATTGTGAATTTGAAATCTCAATGAATATTTCTCCAAACTGCATTTCGAGGCAAATAAGTTCTAGGAAAGAATGATTTCGGAGTATTATATACAGAGCCAGATTTAGACTTGATAAGGTCATAAGCTATTTGAGATATGGGGGCCTTTATAAGTCAGTTATACCATATTTTAATACTATTTATACCATACTTAAATTTTTTTTTGTTGGGGGGGGCTAAGTCAAAGCTTGTGTAGCTTATACGTAAATCCGACCCTGATTATATCATGGATAATTAAAATATGGGTGAGGATTCTGCCTTGGAACAGTGAATCTCGGTCTATTACTGGTAATGTTTAGTTGTTGAGGTGAACCTGAAAGCTGTAAATAAGTTTCGTGCAAGGGGAATCCAGCTTTGTAGCAAATTTGTATTTTGAAGAGACAATAACATATAACACTGCCCTGGCAGTCCTTGTGTTAAAAATTGAATAAGAATTTTAACACTTAAATGTAATGCACAACTTAATTTTAATTTTTGATGAAAATACTAATCAATATCTTTAAACCTATGGTATGTAACCGAAATAAAATTGCCAAATGAAATATTTTCTAAACTGGACATCTAAGTTAAAAATGTTTCCTTCAATAAATTCATCTTCTCAATTTCGATGTATTCACAGATGCAAAATAGCAAGGCCTTGTATTGTTTGAAAAACCATTAGGCATTTGTCAACAGGTATGACCTTTGTTGGATCAAATACAGGCCTTGTAAAGTTTTCCTTGTAAAGTTTTCCTTAAGTAAAAACTTCTAAGATTTGTGAAGGGGTGTCCGCCGATAACATCGCGGCAAAAACATCGTGGACGAAAACGTCGCGGAGAAAACAACGCAAGGTGAAAACGTCGTGCTACAAAACATCGTGGGAGAAAACATCGCAAAGAGAAAACATCGCAGTTCTAAAACATCGTGGTACAAAACATCGTCGTAGAAAATAAAGCGGTTCAAAAACTTCGCAGTTTAAAAACATCGTCGTCGAAAATATCGTGGTAAAAAATAAAGTATCTACAAATCATCGCATGACGATAACATGGCAGACATGCTTTTTTCAGGTTTTAATAATTGTAAATGGATATTCCCATAATGATTTGTGAGCGCAAGGTGTAAAGAAGGATAAATTTGACTTTCACATATTTATTAACTAATAAATTTTGCTGAAAACGTAAGAAAGGAAACTTAAGCATAGAAAATTAAATGTAACTTATAGATTATACTTTTCATGAAATATTACCAGTAAAAACTTTATAAAAATGTTTTATTAATGGCCTTTTTTAGTTAACTATGTCTGTTTAAAATTAAGTGTTATAAGTTGCATTAATTTTTTATGCTTAAGTTTCCTTTTTATTTTCTGAGCAAAAATGTATTAATTAATAAAAAATATGAAAGTAAAAATTATCCTTCTTTCCATCTTGCGCTCACAAATCATTATGGGAATATCCATTTACACTTATTAAAGCATGCCTGAAAAAAGCATGTCTGCGATGTTATCGTCATGCGATGAGTTGTAGATACTTTATTTTTTACCACGATATTTTCAACGACGATGTTTTTAAACTGCGATGTTTTTGAACCGCTTTATTTTTGACGACGATGTTTTGTACCACGATATTTTAGAACTGCGATGTTTTCTCTTTGCGATGTTTTCTCCCACGATGTTTTGTAGCACGACGTTTTCGCCTTGCGTTGTTTTCTCCGCGACATTTTCGTCTGCGATGTTTTTGCCGCGATGTTTTCGGCTGTAACCTTGTGAAGGTGGTGGAGATAGTAGAGTTAATGGCGCATAACCAGAAATGTTATATACGCCAAAAACATGGTAATTATACTGGCTACGCTTTTGTACCAAGAAAGTTAATATCAGACACAAATTTAAAACAACAAAAAAACAAAGTTATAAAATCCAAATGAAGTAATAAAATGGTGAACACTAAGATGAATAAGTTTTAAAAACTCGGGAAATGATATACGTTAAGCGATGCAACACATTAAAAAACACTATAATAAAAGCCCCCCCCCAATTAAATAATAAAAACGTGTTTCTTTCAGGTATTGAAGCAAATTATTACTGCCCTCGTTTCCGATTAAACCGTCAAGAGGCAAAAGACACTCGTTAAAATGCTTTAGTCTAAGTCCATTAAAATTCTGACACTCTATTAAAAAGTGACGTACATATAGATTGCTATCACAGTAGGGACAAACTGGTTCACTCTCCGGTTTGAGAAGATAATTGTGAGTGATTGTGTGAAGTTTTCGACCTTGTAAGTATTTCTAATGCTGATGTAGTGTTAATAAATATTTTACTCATGATGATGACAAAATAATTTTAACATATGAAAACAACATTATAAGCAGTAAATTACAAAACAGCATCAAAAACACTCACAACCTATAAACTCTAAACCATTGAAAGGAAATACTGAATCATTTCGCCGTCACTTCTTGAACATTTTTTTTCTTTCTGAAAACAGCACAATCATATTTCGGTGAAAGTGTTCACTAAGTGTAGATATCCGTAGCATAATTTTTATTCTTGCACCTCTGAAAAATAATGTGATTTATAGACAATGCAAGTGTAAAAAAGATTAACTGGAAGATGATAGATGACCCTACTTTCTTTAAAGGAATAAGGGAAATAGACGAAATATCTGTCTAAGGACTTTGAATCACTTTCAAATATGGTATGCTGGATCATCTACATTTTACTGGCTGTTAGAACTTTTGATCTTGTAGATAAACAAACATATTTATTTAAATTTTATAGGTAAACTACTCTTTAAGGAATGCTATTCTCAACTCGTGACTCAATTCATTGAAGTTCCACAAGTGAAGTAAAAATCCTTGTTGACTTACTGTAATAGATTGGAGCTGATTTATTCCGTAGATAGAGTGATGACACTTGAAGACAAATGTAGCCGTAGATTCAACATAAGTTTATTAAATTATAATACAATTCTTCCGACACATAATCTGATGTACACGTCATAATGAATGGAATCAACACTCCACGTTTTAGGAAGCGTAATACATCTTCCGACAGTGGACGATACAGAGAAGCGAGCGACGTATTTTTGCAACAAAGCAAAAGCGCAAAGTGACAGATTCAGAAAATACGTAGGAGATATCAAAAATGCTTTATTTCAGACATAAATCTTATCCTTTGATTGTTAAAGAGGGATCTGCATTGCCGTGTTAAATAGAATATTATAATTCAGATTAATTTTGAAATGACGCAGTTTAGATTGATATGTTATAAACCATTAGAAAGGCGAAGTAACCAAACTAAAATGAAGAATAAAGGGGATATTGCAAAATTAAAGATAGTATTTTGCTTTCAGATTTTACATTTTGCATTTTATATATATATATATAGATATATATATATATATGTACTATCAAATTTATTTTCAGAAATGCTTAACAATAGATAAATGGAAAATGGTCCTCAATTTCACGTTGTTTCACCATTAAATTAAATCTAATAACACCATTTTTACACGAATAAACAGTATCCTTATGGGCACGAAATTCTCAAAACAACTTTCTAACCTCTACGTATTTACCAAAGAATTTCAGTTTACCAATCACTGGACAACACAAATTTAAAACTATTTGCAAATGCATATACATGGATGATTAATTACTATCATTAATTTTTGTTCATAGAAAAATTACAAATATATACTTCTTGTTTAAAAATTAATAAAACCAATGCAAATCAACAAGAAACAGATTATCTTGATCTCTAAGTAATTAACCGTTATAATCAAAATCGCAATAAAAACCTTGTATTTAGCGTACACATACATATATTTTAATATATGTACGCTAAATAGTACAAGATTGTTATTGCGATTTTGATTGTCACATTGGCGTGTTTCTCTTCTATTCTAACTGTTATAAGTTTAAACTAAAGAGAAGAGACTTTAAATTCAAAGCAATTAAACTAATTAACTGGCATTCCAACTTATGAAAACAAGTTATAGGTAACACAGTACTTAATAAATTAAACTGAATCAAAAATATTTTACCAGAAATACGCTACTTTAAAGATTAAATAATTTTACTTACGTAATTATCTATAGATAACAAAATTCATTCACAATTTATTTTCTTAGGAAAGCATTAAACGTTTAACGTTGAAATATAATTTTTAAAGTAACAAGTTAAATTAAACTAATATGAAGCCGAAATGAGTGTAAGAAAGGCTGTTTTGCTAGAATTAAAGATTTGTATGTTTTACATTTAAACTGCAAGTTTCACTGTATATACTTCTGGCCTCTATCCTTTTAATAACAGGAGCATTTCTTTTCAAAGTTTTAAAAGCAAGCATTTTAAATGTAGACTTCGACTCTAAATCTCCCTATTTGGATTTCCTTGGTTTACAGCCAGAAACAATTATAAAATTATTAGTTAGTTTTTAGAAATTGTTATAATTTCAATATACAGAATCCTGCAAAGAGAGAGGAAAAAATTCTCGCCTTGGATTTGCTTAGTCAACAACAAATCAGAATGCTTTTTTCTTTAATTTTCTCGCCAACTTAAAATATGCTAACCGCCAAACAGTAATGTGAACTCTCCCAACTCCTAGCGTGGTAGCCCTAGGTGACCTTAGCATGTTGCTGCAAACGCACCTCAATTTTGAATAGAAAAATACCTACTACAGTATTTAGTAGAAGTATTAACTGTAAGTAAAAATTAAAATGAATTCTGGCCAATGAAAAAAATCAAAATTTTGATAAAATCATTTAAAATCTATTTTAGTTATATGTTATTATTCAATAAATTTTAATTATTAGTTTATTAACTCTTGATTCTTATTTTAAGTTTAACATGTTGTTCCGTAGTATGGTACATTTATTGTTTTTCATTGCGTCGGTAGTTTCTTTCGCATTTATTGAAACACAAAGATTTAAATTAAAAAATTATATTACTTCGTATTTTTTGCATTTTGGCTTTTATTTACATTTTCTTATATCTAAAAAATGCGAGAAAAACAAAACGCGACCAAATTTATTGTCAGTGGTTTTATGAAAAGAGACTTATTACCCTTGGAAAGTCAGGATATTCCTATGGTGTAGAGACATTAGGTTATTTCGAAGCAGGAGACATGAAAAATGAGAAATGCCCTCGTCGGGACTCGAACCATGGACGTCTCGAATACGCGCCGAGTATGCTGACCATTACACCACTAAGACATATCGCCAAATCCTGGTGGTGAAGAATCATCATCCACCACCTTTTTAATTCGGGCGCCAATGTAGAGTTATTAGGATTTTTTTGAAGCAGAAGACATGAAAAATGAGCAATGCCTTCACCGGGACTCGAGCCTCGGACCTCTCGAATACTCGTCTAGTGTGCTGACCATTACACCACGAAGGCATGCTAAGAAAGTTGGAGAAATACCTTATAATGGAATCGGCAACTTTTTTTCTCCTTATAAAATATTTTTTTAAAGTTTTCGTTAAGTGTAAGACATATTACACCTTTTCCTTTCTACAGTTTGTGCAACCTTTACTGAGTTTGAAAATAAAAAAAAAAAAAAAAATACTCGCATTTCATTAGTATTTCACTCTAAAAATTTCCTATTATCTTAGTAGTTTTTGATCGTTTCCTAGGAGATAATCAAATTAAAAAAAATTTTTTTCGTAAAATACGAAAACTTATTTCCTTTCTTTTCTTCCTTCTTTTCCTTTATACTGTCGAATATAATTAGAAATCATTCTTTTCCTTTATACTGTCGAATATTATTATAAGTATGTGTGGTTTTATTTCAGAATCATCATCGTCCTCTTCCGAATGTGATACAGGATTGCCTTCCACTGTGACAGATCGAGAATATATTTTCTTTCCCAAAGGATCAGAAACAATTGATAAATGTGATATAGAAAGCGGGAAATGGATGCTTTTTTCGTATAATAATTTGGAGCAGCAAGACTGGCGTTGGTTAGTTTTGCAGCTGTTAGTAAAAAATGGAATTCTTAGCAGACTTAAGGCTTCAACGGCACTGAATTCTGAAAGGAGTGTTATTTGCTGTTATACAGCTGATTCAAGTGATAAAATATTAGCAAAGAAAGCAGCTGACGCGATTCGTGAAAGTATTACCTATAACTGTATTATGTATTACAAAACGAACGAAGATTCTGTAGCTGGAGTCTACAGGAAAGAAGGTCACACGAATATTTCCAAATATATGCATACTGTAAATTCTCACTTTTACGAAAAGGATGAATATAATAGATGGAAGCAAGTTTTCTTTGGTTAAGGATTGCTTGCTTAAAGCTGTCAAAATGAACGTAACAGCTTTTATCAAGTGAGGCAGAAGAACATGTACAATAAGTACCACTTATGATTAGCACGATAATTTTAAATGTAATATAAACTGTAAGAGGGCAACAGATAGCGAATTTCTTTTTTGTACATATGAAATCTGAAATTATATTGTATACTTAAAATATTGTTTGTGTATATCTAAAATATTTATTGTACGTAAGAAATGTTGCTTATGTATGTAATTAAAAATATTGTTAACTGTATATTAATGAAATCCATAGTAGTGTTTATGTATGATGCATAATTTATAAAATGTTGATTTATACATTTCGAATTTTTAAAAATTATATAAGTGAGAAAATTGTAAACAATAATTTCAGTACACATACATACGTAAAACTCAAAAAACACAGATATTCAAACAAAATCCAGGTTGCTGGAAACTTTTAGAGATAGAGGCAACAAAAAAATCGCTGGAATGTAATTGTATTGTTTATTATCCTTCCATTTACATATCTTCAAATGGTATTCATCTTTTGGCATGATCATGTACCATTGAAGCTGCCCCACGGGATAGTGGTTAGTGACTCTTGACTTCCATACCGAAGAGCCCGATCTCGAAACCCAGAGAAAGAGCGTATGTTTTAAATGTGTAGTGCCTTTACAACATGGAGACATTCTAAAATGCAAGCTGAGAGTTATCTTGTGTGGTTTGCTGGTGGGAGAAGAGGGGTCTGAAAATTAGGGCAGAGCTGAGCAGAAGACATGATGTCACCTGTGCGATGCTCACGGTGACAGGTGAAAATATTGCTTTCCTTGCCACAATAATACTGGTGAGTTTGTTCTGAATATTCAGGCAAGTGAGATACGACAACAGCAGCATATGCCTTTGAGACACTTCCTTCGAAGACATCCTCCAGAATGCTCTATAATTTCCATTTCATGCTTCAGAGAATTTTTAATGCTCTGTAAAGATGAGGTTTAAAAAGAAACAAGAAAAGCGTAGACAGAACTGAAAAACAAATTATATTTTAGGGGAATTTAGTTTATAATGTGCTCTTTATTCTAGAAATTCGAATTTTTTTTATATGATTGACATGAGGAAAAAAAGACTAGGCATGTAACCACGCTATTCATGGCCTAAATTAACACTCTAAAAACGTTTTTGATGTCCTCTTCTCTTGCTTCCTAACACGCTGACTTTAGGCTTAGTCATTCAGGTGCTAATATTTCATGATTTTCTCTCTTTCCCAACATGATTTTTATTCTGTTATGTTTTTAAAACCAAAGCTTCACCAATGGACTTATTATTCATATAACTATAATTCTGCCTCTCAGACTTGCTTCTTTGTTGCAACGGTTGTTTACTGCACAAAGAAAAAATACTTTTTTATCAGTTCATCCACGACAGTTTTCGAGAAAGCTTGTTAACTGATATTACATTAATCATTCGAGGCGAAAGAGAGAAGCTTTTTTTCAAATACGGAAGTCAAAATTTCCGCTGTTATCTGTTCAAAACCATAACTGGCGACCACTCCAGGGTTCAGCAACATCACGCCTGCGCTCATTTGAAGAACATCCGCTTAAATGAACTGGGTAGTTTTCAGTTTTGAAAGCTTCATATACCATTTGAGATGTCTCCGTTGCAGTATGAATAGTTTTAACAGAAAATGACACTGTTTCTTCTTTTCACTCTTTGAATCCATACCAACAGTATTGACTGTATATAGCTAATTTGATGAGTCAACTAACTGCTGAATGAAAACAATTTACTATCAATAGGAATTACACGATGTGGTATTTAAACTCATGCTTGAAACAAGCATTAAACTAACCTACTTGCTATTCAGCAGCTGATAATAGGGTATCTGTGCTTTGCAAATGTAATCAGCAGGTGTTATTTGCCCTTCGACTGCAGTTTTATTATTCAGAATCCTGAGATTTTAGTGTACAATACTTCTGCAGCATTAGTGCTTGTGCAGATTTGTAAGAACAAGTATGTTGTATATGTGCCAAACTTGTATTTTGACTACGTAAAGCCTGTGTTGAGCTATTTTCATAATTACTTGTTTGAAGTGTAGGTAATAAAAGTAACCCTTGTAGCATGAAAGTTAACGATTACTTACTATTTGATAATTTAATTATCTGCTTTGAGTATTGTTCTTCTTTAATCTCTTTTTTTTTAGCTAGAAAGCTTATCAGGATTGGTTTCCCTCTTTACTTGCTTTGGAAACATTAACTATCCTGACTCGGAACAGGGAGCTTACTAAAGCTATGTTCAATAAATTGTGAAGTAGACAATACACACAGGAAGGGTATACGAAACCCTTTATTTTTCTATCTTTACAGAGCTTTCCGGACTTCGGAACACAGAAAAGTACCGCTTGCGAAAGTACCGCTCCCAGCGCATAATCCGAAGCATCCGCTGAAATTTCTAAATTCTCATCATTTTCAGGAAATTTCAAAACAGGGGCTTGCATGCTTGCTTTAATTTTTCGAAAGCACTATTGGCTTCGGCCGTCCACGAGAATCTTGCCTTTTTCCTTTTTAATTTTAACAATGGTTCAGCAATAGCTGCAAAATCTTTTATAAAGGACCTATAATATGAACAAAGTCCTAGAAAAGAAGAGAGCTTCTTCGCCGTGTTTGGCGGCGGATACTTTTGCACAGCGATTATTTTGATTCGTCTGTCTCGATTCCTTTCTGAGATATTTTGTATCCTAAGTATTTTAATTCAGGGGCTGCAAATTTGCACTTTTCGACATTAACTTTTAGACCGGCCTCATTTAATAATGAAAACACCTGTCTTAAATCCTGTACATGTTGGTCCAGATTATCACTAGTAATAATGATATCGTCTAAATAGATAAATGTGGACTTTCCAAGAACAGTCCTTAACACAATGTCCATACATCGCTGAAATGTTGCCGGTGCCCCTGAAAGGCCAAACGGCATACGCAAGAATGCATAAGTGTCCAGACTTGGTTATAAAAGCAGTCTTAGGCACGTCCTCCGGTTTAACCCCTATTTGAAAATAACCAGTCGTTAAGTCTAAAGTCGTCATATATTTGGTGGATGTTATGTTCCTTAGAATTTCTTCCAATAATAGGTAACGGATTTATACCGGATATTTAGTTATGGAGTTTAATTACGATAGTCAATTGCGAAAAGCCACCTTTTTCGGATGTGTCAATGGATAGTCATTATTTTTCTTACATAAACAAACCGGGCTAGCATAACTACTTGAGATGGGCGTTATGATCTTTTTACGTAGCATATCGGTCGATATGCCATTCTATAATTTTTTCTTTATTCTTATCATATCGGTATGGTTTGTGGCGAACTGGCAGTTGAATCTCCGGTGTCATACTATGGTTAGTAACTTGAGTAAATCCGGGAATATCACTAAATAACGAAGCAAATTCACTTACCACTTGCCGGATTTTTTGTTGCTCTTCATTAGGCAGGTGGTCGAGGTTTAACATCGGTGGTTCTGTTTTTTCTTCACGAACTGGTTTCATCGTCAGCTTAAGGGACGCTTCAGTTAAAATCTAGCGTTGCTTGTGCCTCTGAAAGAAAATCTATCCCTAAAATGACATATGTGCTTGCAGATTTTTTATGATATGAAAAACATAATCCTTTACTTGTTCGTCCTTGATACGGAATGTATAACGGTAATTACCTATACACTTACATCTTTCTCCTGCGCAAGCTAACACTGTCGTATTATCCGAATTATATATACGATATTTACGAAAATACTTCCTAAAAAAATCTTCTGCCACACAGGAACACTGCGCGCCTGTATCCAGGAGTGCGGTGGCTGGGATATTATTCACCAACACTTCAATCTTTGGAAGAGTCAAATTTTTTCGCCATTACTGTATTTAACTGAAGGAAGAGGGGTTTTTTTGGCCTTCGGATTTCCGCACCCTCCCGTCAGCAGAAATCCGTTTTAGTTTAAATTTTGTTACTTCCTTTCCATGCCTTCCTTCTTTTTCCGCTGGCCTTCTGACTTTTTTCTGGCTTACTATTGAACTGTCGACGTTCGCCGGTTGTTTTGGGATACTCGGGTTTCCTTGCCCACCGATTCGCTTTGCTTCCGTAGCCGTTGTTCTGGACTTTGCTGTGAGTCTTGGCGCACCAAATTGGCTTCGTTGCTCATACAGGCGTCTTCTTTCAATGTCCGCCGTTCTTCTACTTTCAAACTGGATTGCTAGCTCAAATAACTTTTCCAGTGTAGTCGGATTCCTTAATTCAATAAAGTCTTGCACTTGGGGAAGTAACCTCGGCAAAATCACTTGGAATTATCTCAGGATCCGGACGGTTTTCCATACAAGATTTTGAAAAGACGTGAATTTTTCTTAAAATACAGCTGGAGAGATTTTCGATTCTTTGCTGATATATGCTGAAAAGTTCCGTTTCTAATTTGCACGATCCCTTACGACAGGGAAGGCTTTTACTAAGGGCAGTCTTGAAATTCTCGTAAGTATAGGGGGGGACTTCCCGCTTGACCCAAGAGACTTCTGCCTATACATTTGAACCAATTAAGCGCTTGGCCCCTCAAAGCGCTGGTAGCTAAGGTGAACTTTTGGAAATTCGTGCACGGGGTAGAGCATGAAGTGGTCATCCAATTTTTCCAAAAAACTGGTTACCGGTGAGTTTCCATTAAATGTTGCTTCTGGTTTCATCGAAGCGCGCATTGTCTGGACGATGTAACCAAATCCTTCCAGGGCGGCAGCTGCATTTCTGGATTCTGAGCCGCAGCCATAGGTTCTTCTTGAAACTCGGCCATGGTTATTCTTCTTCGTTGGGCGCCACTATCAGGTTGGTTCCGTCTTACTTGCTTCGGGAACATTAATGGAACCTGACTCGGAAACAGGGAGCTTACTAAAGCTATGTTCAATAAACTGTGTGGAAGTAGACAGGATACACACAGGAAGGTATACAAAACCCTTTATTTTCTCTCTTTACAATAATTTCCGTACTTCGGAATACAGAAGACCCACCACTTGTGGTCTGAACGTAAGAATATAAAAATATTTAACTAAACTCTAACTAAACTAACTTTGGAATAATAAAGTGGACTTTAAGATTGGCCGTATATAAATTAACAAAAAGCCGTATGTAGTACAGAGAACTGCTTAAAACTACGAATACGTTTAAAATTATCACGAGGATTAAACCTCTGGCCTGGAAGGCAACCAGCAACCGAGTAAAAATTCTAAGGTAAGCGGCTTGCTTCGTACTAACTCCTTCCTCTCTCTCGCTTGGCAAAAAGCCACATCTTAACTTGTACTTGGCGTTCGCAAGACAAATTTTGCATAAATAAGTTAAAAAGCTTTTAATTCTGGCCGGAAGTAGAAAATAAGAAATGATAGTAAAGATTTAAAATAAAATAAACGTTAGTAAAACTTAGGATCCTTACAAGCTGTATTCCTTTAAATACTAAAAACAATTTTTTTCATAAATATTTACCGAAATCTTGCAATACTCTGTGCTTTTGTAATAATAGTTTTAAGTTTAATAACGTTTTTTAATTTCTCCTATTCATGTTTACTCTGTTTATAATTTGTTACAGTGAACAATGCAGTGAACTCTTTTTCATTAGATATATATATATCGCTCAAAATTTTACTTAATTTTTAAAATCTCATTTAGAAAGAAATACTTTGTCAAATAAATACTTTAGATCAGGGTTTCTTAAACGTTTTTCAGTCGCAGCCCCTTTTCATCAATTAAATTTCTTCGCAACCCCTAGGACCCTATAATATTTACAAAAATTTTGTGGGAGTCCATAAGCATTGCGTAAATCCAACACCCGCATGAGTGAGACTGTCAGTTTTTTCACTTGTACTGTGGTATACTACTGAAGGTTTAGGTTATTAACTTTAATTTCAAATTTTAAAACATACAACAATGTGAAAATTTTAAATAAGTAACAGACGGAATGACAGCGTCACGTGCAAAGCAAGGAAAATCAACGTATATATTCTAAAAAGAATGCGTCGAAACGTTTTGTGTTTTTCTTTGTCTGTATTGTCTTATCTTTATCTGTTTTCAAGTACATTGTGTAAAAATATTTGATAATTGTAAAATTATTATAATATAATAAGCTGCTAAAATTTTTGGCCACCTCCTGCTGCAGGTCCCGCGACCCCCAAGGAGGTCGCGACTCGCAGTTTAAGAAACCCCGCTTTAAAGTAATATTACAAAGTGCCATACCAAAACAAATGTTCATTTGTAGGGTTAATATTTCGAGATGTTTTGTTCATTTCTATGCGTTTGAACTCGCGTTATATGGTACATATTCTCTATCTAATGTAATTATGTTAATAAAATTTATTATATCTTACTCGTATTTTTGGTTTAAACGTTTTCTACATTTTCTTGTTTCTTAACTAAGATATATTTTTCTAATTCTAATATATGTATGCACAAGTAAGACTAAATTTTTAAGAAATGAAACTTAAAATTACTAACTTTAATTTGACTACATTCCCTTTTTGTAATCTAAATTGCGTCACTTAAAAATGTAACCACAGTAATGTCATCTACACTGCCATCTGCTTTGCCATCTTGGCCAGTCGCCGTTTAGAACTTAATCTAAGAGTTTCGATATTTGTGTAACATTTTTGATAAACTTCGAGCATAATAATTAAGCAAATATTAAAAAGTCTTAGTTAAAAGCTATTTAAAGGCACATTTCAATAATTATATTTTTTAGAAAAAGAGTATATTGCTCTATTTATGCATGTATTATATCTTAATTTGCTGGCGTTTGGTACGTCAAGCTTAAACATATTATACGTTTTTGGAATTAGCAATACGCACTCCTTTATTAAAAAATCAAAATTTGGAAATTCATTTCTGAAAGTTTGTTCTTCCCTCTTCCCTTATGTTCGGTGTACGTATGAAAATATAATTCTAAAAATTTTAGATTAAATTGCAAATTATAAAATAGATGATACATTTATGATGCTTAAATTTTAAAAATAAACTTTTCAAAAATATTCCTTTAAAATTAATTTTTCAACAATGCAGTCTTAGAGCAACTTTGTAAACAATCTTCTGTTTTTAACAATGTTTTCTAACAAAGATAAATCCTGCATGAAACGCAACAGACAGATAATTTTACAGATGATGACAACAACCAAAGGAATTTGATGTGTAAGCTGCTTACATTGCAGATGAGTTAGAGAAATACGTTGTAGAAGCTGCAATGTCTCCTTCCTAAATTACCAAAAACATGGCCACTTCTTCCACAATGGCGGATAGTGGATCAAAGCTACAAGACAGTGAGAAGAAACGCAGGCGCGAAAAGATAGTTCGCTTAACTCTTGAAATTCTGGAAAGTGAAAAGGACTACCAGGTGCTAAATATTCTTGGATGTGGTACCTACGGTGATGTGTTCCAGGTATATGATTCTAAAAGAGATATTGAAATCGCAGCGAAGGTTGTTACTTCGGATAATATCTCAGAAATGGAACTGAGCTTGTGGCCAAAATTGAATCATCCTAATATTGTCCCTCTTATGGAGTTGTTTACATTGAATCTGCTCGATGTGGTGATATTCGTTATGCCTCTTCAATACAAGACACTGCATGATCTGTTATTTGATACTCGATTCTCTAAGTCTCGAAACTCTTCCTTCTACTTAAAGAGATGGTTCTTCGAGATTCTTTGTGCCATCAATTACATGCACGAACATGAAATGTGTCATTTAGATATTAAAGTAGACAATGTGCTGATCACGCATACATTTTCAGCAATGCTCTGTGATTTTTCATTCTTGAATGAGACAACGAAACCTCTCGAAAGGTAGGTAATAAAAAAAAGGAAATAGACATAAATATGTATTATTTTATTAACGCAAATTTACAAATGTATTTCATAGGTTTGGAAATGTTTTAATAAGAGCTTTATTTCTAGCAGAACCGAACGAATGCTGTAAAAATACTTTGTCTCATTTATTTGTAAATGTTTAATATTAAAATTATTTTATGTCAGTTTCATATTTATAATAGCTGAATCAATGTTGTTTGCTGATTACTGTGCTTAGGACGGTACAGAAATAAAGTAGTTCTGTGGAAAGCTATATAATGAAATGAATATAGTGCTTATAGGTTAAAGGCGTTAAGTAAATCTATTTAATCAGAATTTATAGCTTGCAGAAGCATTTTTGACAAGATTCCATTAATGTTTTAAATATGCTTGAGAAAATAATCTCTTCAGAATCGACAAGTGAATAGGAAACTCATAATTTATTTTAAAAATCGTAGGAAAAAAAGAAAGGGAAAACAAAATTACTTAAGTACGATAACAAAGTGAGCTACAAATGTGTAAATTTTAAATTTGTAAATGTAACAAAGCAGTCCTTTTTAATAAAATGAATGAGGTTTCTGAAAAACAAATTCTTCTGTAGCATTTAAAAAGGAAAAAAATACTTACTCTTTACATTAATAAATACACACTGTGCATTAATTTGGTAAATATACAGACATTTCAATGTAAAGCAGTAAAAATTATTAAAAAAAAAACCTGTGTTCTTTCACTCAATTTGAGTTGGTTAAGCAATTATTTTGGAAATACTATAAGGTATTTCTCCCTCCTTCTTAGCATACCTTCGTGGTGTAATGGTCAGCACGCTTGGCGTATATTCAAGAAGTTCGATCTCCGGCGACGGCATTGTTTTTCACGTCCCCTGCTTCGAAATAACCTAATGTCTCTACAATACTATGAATCGTTTAACTTATTGTTTATGTAAGAATTATAGTAATATGGCTATCAAAGAAAAATGTATGCAGTTGAAATAAGTGGAGGTTGTCTATTATAAGTATTATTTTTCTGAACATTTGTATATAGTTGCTTGTTTCTCAAAATGTTCTGAAATATTTCCTAGGAGTTTATTTATTTCTATGATTTTATATCACACGTTTTAGTTAAATATGTATATTTAACGAATTTTTTATGTTTTTTTAAGTGGCGGTGTGGTGTATTTAATGATGGCAAAGCACACTCGGGCTATCTGCCTAAGGGGAGGGATGCCTTCGTGGAGGACTTTCTAAGGGGAACTGGCTCGTATACATGTTACACATGGGGAAAACCACGAAAACACCCATGCAGCCAGCCCATTCGCGGGATTCGAACCTCGGACCGAACTACCAGTGTTCAGCGACTTTACCGCTCGGCCGCTGGTAGGCCTTTTTTCTTTTTTTAAGTATCCCGAATGTAGATAAGAAGTTATCTTAAAAGCTTATTTAACGAAGAGAGAGATCATTAATTAAAGAAGAGCATTGTATTAGTTTAAACTATGCAAATACATTAGAAAGTATCAGCAGAGCTCCAGATTGGAGTCAAAATTAAATACACTTGTCACAAAGAAGGCTAAAAACACAAACGAAATTTTGAATCCTTTTTAGTGGGATGAAAATATTTTTCCAGTGAAAAAATAAATACGAGTGCAATATTTAGTGCACTGTTTCATGTAATCACATAATTCATAAACAGTATTTACGCATTAGAATAAAAATAATCACATTTTATTTTAAAGTATGCATTATGCAAATTGTTCTAATTGAGTTGTAGGAATTAATGAATTATGGAAATTATATTACCATATATTTCATATGTATAACTTATATATATTGTTGCGTTCTACGGGTTCGTGGATTTTGAGGGATTAAGAATCAAAACATAATTTATTCATTATTATTTCACAGAAGAGTTCCAAAGACACGTTTATAATCGTCGAAAAACTACGATAAACACGTTGAAACAATCAACAACGTAGCCTTCTGTTCTCAGAGCTCAACACACTCAAAATACTCTTCACGATAAAACTCACGACGTACACTCTACTCCGCGGACAGGCAAGGTTTATGTAGCTTTTGACTTGCCTTCGGAACATTCTTAGCCAAATCGGTAAGAATTCATTCTACTAGAATGTTGTCGCTCCGTCTATTGTATATCGCCAATTTTTTCTCCAAATAGGCAATATCGCGCCATATCTGGCAGCCCTGTCTTACCTTGCCATTTTGTGGCAACCCTAAAACCTCTTTGCTGGGAAGCTGCCTTACCGCGGCTGAATCAATATCCGCTAGCATAATCCGCTAGCATTTCGTAACAATATATATATGTATACATCATATTGTTATATATTTAATTCCAAAAATACCTATCAGAAGTGATTAAGAGTGACTATTATTTTTTTCTAAATATAAAAATTAATGCTGGAATAAAAATACTATGTAGTAGAACCTATTTAAAATTAGGTTGTCAAACTTGGAGATCGAGATCACTAAATCTATGACAGTAAATACCTCAAGAATCCACTTGGTAAAAGATACAGATTCTTTTTGGAAAGTACGTGTTGTAACAATTTAAGGAATACGCTTTTACTCAAAAACACTACTACAGTTATGAAATGATTTCAGATCTATGAACTTTTAATAATCACTGGCTTTTAAATTTTTTTCTTGTTATACCTATGGATTCTATTATCAAGGTATACGTTTTAACAATATTTTACCACATCTTATTTGAATTTTGGGACATAATATTCAACATTCTATTTTACGAATGCATTCATTTTACATTATGTTTTACACTGCAAGTGCTTGTTATTTAACATTTATTCTTTGATTATAATGAGAAAATTTCAAAGTCATGGTCCACCAGCGGTGAATAGTAAAGTCGCTGAACACTGGTAGTTCGGTCTGAGGTTTCAATCACGGTAAACGTGCTTGAACGTTTTCGGTGATTTCCCCAAGTGTAACGTGTATACGAGGCAGTTTCCCTAAGAACGTCTTCTAGGAAGGCATCCCTCTTCTTAAGCAGACAGCCCTCGTGTGCTTTGCCGTAATAAAATTAACCAAATGTTATGTTACCAAAATTAACCAAATGTTAAGTTTTAAATGCTTCTAAACTGAGACATGGTATTATCATTGAAAGTACACTGTAACTTGCTATTATTTTATCAAGGTTTTATCATTATGGCAATTCTCTGAAGGTTATCTAATTTTGCACACATTTTAGGGATTAGAAAACTAAGATTTTTCTTTTATCCTCATCCATCTCTTCTACAATCGTGTTTTGTTGCTATTTTCGATGTTCCGATTCTTTATCGTTGAGCTCATTTGTATGGTGTCCGCTAGCGATTGAGCGGTTAGCTCGCTGAAAACTGGTAGTTCGATCCAGGGTTCTAATTCTAAAGGACTGGCTTAATAAATGGGTGTTTTTATGGTTTTCCCATGTGTAACGTGAATACGAGTAAATTTCTCTTTGAATGTTGTACGATCCGTTGTTAAAAATAGTGGACTGTAAATTGACTTGATATTACTTCAGTATAGAACCCAAAAAACCTCAGAATCATAACGTTGACCGAAACTTCTTTATTGACTTTCAAACAGTAAGTTAGTTGAGGAACGGCGAAGACCACACTGCAGACTCCGAACTCAGTATCGGCTTACCAACACAAACTCAGAAGAACCTCTGCTTAGTTGAAACTCCAGTAATTCACAGCAACCTCAAAGCTCTAAACGCGAGCTTAAAAAACCTAACAAATTTGCGTCTGCGCCGCTCCTCGGTACAAAGAAAGAAATACAATTTGCATAACATCGAACATACCCCCAGCCTTGAAGTCCCAAAGGGGGGTTCAAACAATAAATTAAACTGTTGAAGCAGATAAACCTGAAAAATAAAAATTAAAGTCTCTAAATCAGGAATTAAATGGTAAAGCACATAGCTTTGCTATAGCTATGCTATTTTATTTCACCATTAGACGTGCGTAAACTCACCACTCGAACTTTCTTATCAGACCAGGATACACTTTAATAATTCTACCTAATTTCCAACGTAGCGGAGGTAGATTTTCGTTCTTAATAAGAACCATATCACCAATCTTCAGATCTTGTTGTAACTTGCACCACTTGGGTCTCTGCTGCAATCTAGATAAATACTCACTGCTCCATCGATTCCAGAAATGTTGAAATAACCTTTGCACGTTCCTCCAACGGTCACTGCAGCTCATGGTTTCTTGAATTTGGTTAGATTCTGGAATAGCGCTTAAAGCCGCTCCGGTTAAAAGGTGTCCTGGTGTTATCGCCTCCAAGTCGCTACAATAGCTTGAAGCTGGTACCAAAGGCCTAGAATTTAGATAAGATAGGATTCAATTTGGGTTATTAATGTCAAAAAATTCCTCGTATGTTAAAAATAAGTGTTCCTAAATATCTTTTTAAGTGATGTTTCATAGACTTAATACCCGCTTCCAAAGCCCTCCAAAATGAGGGGCAGAGGGAGGATTAATAACCATTTAATATTTTCTGAAGAAATGTAACCCTGTAGCTGTTCATCACGTTGAACAATAGAAAAGGCTTTCCTTAATTCTTTATTAGCTCCTATAAAATTCGTAGCACTATCACTTGTGAATTTCACACGGTTTGCCTCTACGAGCTATAACCGCTAAGTGTCGCGAGGAATGATTTTGTTGAAAGATCTCCAACTAATTCTAAGTGTATTGCTCTTGTAGTAAACAAATAAATAGACATACGTAACACTTAAAGATTTTGACCCTCTACCAGGGACGATATTTAAACGTTAAATGGTCCTGCTAAATCAATCCCTACACGAGAAAAAGCTCTACTTTGAGTAACTCTTGAAGCGGGTAAATCTGCCATTAGCTGAGTTGCAGTTTGCGCTCTAACTCTACGGCAGATAACACATTGGTTTATACACTTCTTATAATATCTCTAGCTTCACAATCCAAAATCTATGTCGTATGACAGAAGTGAGTACTGCGTACCTGCGTGAAGATACGTGTC